ATTGTTCTTCTCGGTAGACAGAAGAAACGTCCAAGTTAATAATATATAACTATTAAATAGACCGTGACAAATGTTTTAAAGTATTTCAGCAACGATTTCTTCCACAGGTATTAAATTTGAATTGAAAAACGTTGCTCTGTGCATTCGAGTTTTACGTATGTATAGAACGTGCGCGCTGCATGAAAATGCGGACAAATTGAGTGAAATAACGTTTGCATGGCATCGTTTTTCTTTTTGCGCGTAATGATGCTTCGGGAAACGATTAGTAAGTGTTTAAAGAGGGTGAACATCGCCAAGTGTGTAGGGGTTGTAAGAGCGTCGTCGTCGTCGCGACGGATGGGAATAAGGAGGGAGGTTCGTTATATTTTTTTTGGGTTCTCTTTGGTCGCGCAATGTAATAGGAATTTGAACTCATTTCGCATGTATAAAATGCATGGAACGTATGAGAGGGCGTCTTCGGGAACGCAGGGCAGTTTGTATCTGTATCTATGTGGTAATAACACTCTAACTTAATTTATGGTAAACACCCTGCAAGATAAATCACGTGCGCGTCGTCGATGGTGGTGGAGGATGAGGATGAGGAGAAGGAGGAGGGATGGAACAGTTTCGGTGGCGGCGGCGTCTTTCGGGGGAGGTTCAGGGGAGACGCGACGTCGCGGGGAAAATTGAGAGATTTTTACAAAAACTTTTGGCATCGCGCTATTTTGGCTCTGTTCCCCAAACGGTTTTATTGCGCGACGACGACGACGGCGACGTCTCCCTGCCTCGTCGGTGGCGGCGGCGCGTTCCCTCGCCAACTCTCGTACGCACCCCTTTATATACATTATATACGGCAGAGGGGGTGGCGGCGGCGACGACTTTCCGGGGGAAATCCACCAAAGCTATGTACAACAAACCGGAAGATTTGTGTACAATAATTTATTCCTTCTCCCAACCCCTATTTCGCATCCTTTTGGCAAAGTTTCAAACTGTAAAACCGTGCAGATCGCATTGTGATTGAAGGGAGTTCGCTCTTCAGAGAGAGAGAGAGAGATTCACCCACCCACTAATAACTTTATCCTATTTAATCATTGCTACCAATTGACCCAAACGAAAGAAGAAAAAAACACTACGAACCGTTAATTGGTTACCATGGCTATAAATTTCGAACGAAGTTGTTGTTGTTGTTTTTTTTTTTGTTACATTATTTTTAAGGGCACCCATCATCTGCTACTTTGATCGCCTTTTATCAGTGATTTAAATTTCAACTTTGTCGAATATAAATTTTACCAGAGAGCAATAAATTCACCCAAAACGCACATAATCACAACGAGCAGATACAAATGGGATTCCTGATTTATGCTGTTATTCCTTTAATTTAATTTAATTACAATCAACGTTTAACCTACATTATTTTTTTCTTTTTCCTAAACAGAATAAATAATTCGAATTAACTTAAAGATAATTAAATTTATCGAACACTTAATTAAAAGAAAGAAATAAATTTATTTTCGCACTAAAGAAGAAAAATCGATCTCTTTTTGTTTTTTTTTTGTTTGTTTGTTTGTTGTTGTTTTATTATTATTTATTACCGCAATAATTGGTGGGAAAGCAACCGGGCTTTTGACGATCGAAGTGGGCTTATTTTAAAAACTTAACGCACGCAATACACCAATCGATACGTTTCCTTTCGCAACTCGCTGGATTCGCTTCGTTCATTCATCCATTATTTACGAAAAAAAAAAAAAATAATAAGTACGTCCTTGAAAATTACTATGCTGCATTCATTTGTCTCGACTTACATGATGATATTTTTTATTTATTGTTTTCGTCGCAAGTGCAAATGGACGTAAGTTTTAAGTATTAGTCATTTAGATTACGTTGAATTTTATTAACAAGTCTTACCTTATTCTTCTTATAACATAACTTACGTTTTTTGGTGGATGCGCCGGGTTTTTGGTGTTCTTAAAATCGGGCAAAAGGTGGAATGGAATAAAGAAACACAGCATGTTTTCTTAAATCAAGAAGAAAAAAAATTTTGATTTGTTCGTTTTTATTAATAATTCTCCACACAATCTCTTCGTCATCGTTCATATTTTTTTTGTATTATTATCATTATTATAATTTACACATCTGTCAAATATATTATATTTATAGATATATATATATATATATAGGGGGGGAGGGAGAGAGAGAGATAGAGATATAGTTACGAGTTAGAGAGAAAGAGAAATAGAAATATATGCGCGTTATATAATTAGTTATTATTTGTATTTCGTAGCTGGATTTCGTTATTATTATATAATTTTATTTATTTTTTGGTTCTTTAGCACTTTGAAATGTTCATCAAAGTGTTGAGAGTACAACTTAAAAACCTTGATTTTTCAGATTTTCTATCAACTGTGTTTCAGCTATCAAATTTAATCTATGAGAAAATCAGTTTTTTTTTTAATATTCTTCTGACCTGAAAACTTAAATACGATCCAGAGCGGTAAGAAATAGAGAAAAAGATTGAGAGTGAAAGAGAAGGAGTGGATATTTGAGAGGATTATCCTCTGAAAAGTAGACTAGCATATTTAGACAATAATATCTGCCCTTCCTTTTCGTGTTCAAAAACAAACAAAATGCAAATGAATGCACCGGTCACCGGATTTGAAGACTAAATTACTAAACGACTTGAATCTTCAAATCCAGCAAGCGATCATCGTAACTCTCCATCTATATACTATATAGGTGATGTTTTCATATCGTTTCGTAACGTAGGCAATGAAAATTGAATACAGAAACAAACAATAAATAAATCGGAATGGCTCAAGCTTTTTATTTATTTTTTTTTTGTTGTTGTTTCTTTAAATATTATTTCGATTATTAATTAATACTGATAATAAATCATCGTTCATTTGTTATACAATATATATTTAATATAATATAAAATTAGTTTAATTAACAATTGTTTTTTTGTATTTCTATACGATTTTCTTTCACACCTCCGTTAATAATATCGTTTTCATTCTCATTTGTTTGTTTTTTTTTTATAATAAATAGTTATTAAACTTCTTCTTTTGTTTTTCTGTCGTAGTTTCGCTAACACTAGATTCTCATTGTCGGTGATAAAAAATAACGGTTTTTTCTTCTTACTCACTAATTATTATTATATATATTTCTCGTTTAAATTAAAACTTATTACTGGGTACAAATGTCGTCTTTTCTTTTATTAATTAATTAATTAATTAATTAATTATTAATCTTTTTTTTTTCTTTTCTTCTCATCAATTAATAATTCTTAATGTTTACATCGTTTCTTATTGTCTTCGATTTACTCTTTCGTTCTCCGCAATTTATTTCCTCTAGTAATTTACTTGTTTACTTTCAATTTGAATTGCGCGCGTATTTTATTATTTTTACTATTGTTATTAAATTTATTTATTTTTTTAAATTTCGCGCCTCGGGCAGTGTTCTCTCTCGCACACGCGCATACGCAAATCATTCGAATATATTATATTTTTATATATATATAGTGTGTGTATTTGAAATATATTACATAAGCATTTTTTTTCTTCTTTAAACAAAGTATATATTTATATTAGGTATTATGTATATATAAATATTAAAAATCACAGTTTCAAAAAAAAAAAACATAATAGAAAGACGCGTTGTTCATTTTTTTTTCTTCGTATTTTCTCGTTTGTTAATTGACACCAAAAAAAAAAACAACAGAACGATTTGTTCATTTCAAGCGAAAACCGTACAAAAAAGTGCTATTAATTTACGTTAATTATTGCTTTCTGAATATCGATTTTTTTTGTTTAAATAATTTAACAATTGTTGCTTTTGCGACAAACGTTTTTAGCCAAAGATTTTAGAACACATCTTAAGAAGGTGTAGTGTGAAAATATTCTATGACAATATCAAACGAACAATTAAACTATAATTCACTCCAAATGCGCATCAATGGAAATTTTTGATTTCTGATCTGCAATTCTCGACTGTAAACTTAAAAAACAATGGTAACTAGATAAATAACCTTAAGAGAAGCGAACCTTTAGTAAAGCCATTTTAAATTCAGGTTTGCTGTGGAATTCAAATTTTGTTTGCACAACACGTTTTAATACTTATATAAGTTTAAAATAAATATTAATAGAACATGGATTCAGTACTTTTATAGAGAAATCATGAATTTTACTGGTTTTGATATGTTATGTTTTTTTACTTTATCTGCGTAATTTTTCATAATAATTATTAAAATTTTCCATAAAAAAAAAACTATGGTATTTAATGAGAACTAAAATTTTATTGTTATTAGTAATAATTTTATCATTCTGAATATATTGCAAATATTTTATTGAACATTTTTTTTGTACGAATCCATTTTTCTTAATAGTGTTTTTCTTTTTTGTATACTGATCATGATGAAATCGAAATTGAAACTTCGAAGGATGAAGGAAATTCTAAAACGAATCTCCTGAAAATACTTGCTTGCTTTTCGATTTCATTGAACTGATTCCACTTTGTTTGCCGAATTAGTGCAAATTATAAAGGAAAATTTTAAGTGAAAAGGTGTTGTGTCCAAAAAGTGATTCCAAAATTGAATTTTTGTTTTCGCTATATACTAATATAATCAATTTAAGCGTATCTGGTTTAAAAAATAAATAATTGTGTTAAATAATATGCTGTGATTATATATCGGTATTAGTTAATCCTTGCACGGAAATATAACATATCTCGTTATCTCGTTATCAATCATCATTATCAAACATCCTTCTCATCATCATCATCATCACAAAAGATAAAATATTCTTGCCGTCACCATCACAACTCCAAGATGATGATGATGACCATTCCAATTTGTTATTTGTGTCCATTTGGTTGAATGGGTTAGATCTACCTACCTACGATCAGGAAACCGAAACGCGCGCGTGTCTCGTCGCACTCGCATACAAACAAGATCATCTTCACTGCACTTTTTCATTCTGGACGAAATATTTTCATTATTTTCTCTTTTCTTTTTCTTTTTTTGTATCCCTATTTAAATTGTTTCATTCGATTGTTGTTGTTGTTGTTGTTGTATTTTGTTTGTTTATATGATTCGTTCTTCTCGTTTGGTAAGAGTCGAGAGGTTCGAAAGAGTCAAGGACATCCGCACTCGTCGACGACCATCTTCGGGAGGTCGCGTTTGATAATGTTCGAGTCGGGTCCGAAGTAGATGAGACTCATGCTGGAGAACTTGAGTGGAGCACAGCAGGGCTGCATTCCGCTCAGGTGGTGCGTCTTACGCACCTCCTCGATGACGTGCGTGTGGTAGGTGACGAAGGAGTCGGGCGTCCGGTGGTGGCCGCAATCGCCGCGGCAGTAGTTCGCGAAGTAACCCTTCGGAGCGATGATCCAGTCGTCCCAACCCAGCTCGCGGAAGCTCACGTAGAACCTCTGCTTGCAGCATTGGCTTCCCGAATCCGGGCTGCAGTCGAGGGCGCGTCTCTTCACTCTCTTGGCGGTCGCGGGATCGGTGTGCACCACCAGGAAGGGACGGTTCCAGCTGTCGCTTCGACGGTCACCGTCCCCGTTGAACACGTGCACGTCCCAGTTGCTGCAGCAGCTGCAGTCCACGAAGAGACGCAGACTCTCGCGCGCCCTTCCCTCCAGCCACTGTCGCACCGTCACCGTCAGGTCGATCTTCTGCCAACCGGGGTTCTCCAAGGACGTCGCCACCGGCTCTTCCGTCAGCTCCCGGAACTCCTGCAAACCATCAAACATACATAAATGATATCAGCAAACTTGGTGCGTTTCCTCGGGTATCCTCACTGAGACCTAACATTAACACGTTAAGGACGGCGCTTTTCGGGTTGCCTGCCCCCAAAAAAATTTTCGTGGACGCCTATGGACTGAGAGAAACGTCAAATATCTTACGTCAATTACGTCAACCTTTAAACGTTTAAATTTTTCTTATACATTTTTTTTAATGATATTGAAGCAATTTATAAAATTGTGGGAAAAATATTGAAATTTTCATAAAGTTGTTACATATTGCGCACAGTGTTATGATCAACCGACACTGTGTATCAAATGTTTTGAAGATGTTCATAAAAATAAATAAACATTTCTATTATTGAATGATCCTATTTTATTTTCGTTATATTCAATAGATATACTCAACAGGGTTCGAATTTTATTGAAACGCGGGAAAAGTGCTATAGGTTTCATAATAAGCAATAATAATAATTGAGCATTGCAAATTGATCATTGATCATTGAAAATTTCAAATATGTTTCGCAAGTTAATTTGTAAAGTATGCCTAAATTATGTCACAAATATCACGTATTGTTTTAAATTGCTTCAAGAATTATTAAAATATGTATAAGAAATGTATCGGCATTTGAAGTTTGTAATTGACTTAAGATATTTGAGGTTATTTTCAGTCAAAATCAGTGGCGTACATAGCAACAAAACTATTATTTATATTTAATGACCCACCGGTGGGTCATGCCGTCGTCAATGTGTTAACAAATGAACATTTAGATCAGCGGTCGGTTTTCTAATTTCATCTTACCAAACTCTGACCAAACTTTTCAGATCTTGATGTACAAACTGTGAATTGGATTGTAGATCCTTTTAAATGTGAAATTACTAACATACCAGGAAGAGGCAATTCTTGAACTCCATCCAATACTGAAGCACGTATTCAATTTGAGACCAAAGCAAATCTGTCGTCTTTTTGGTTGTCAAAGGCTGCAAAGGCTTTCAAAATTGCACATGAGGAGGCGGTAAAAAAATTGCAACAACCTAATTTTGTGAACAAGGCTTTTCCACTCTAATGAACATAAAAACGAAAAACAGAAATCGATTAAACGCCGAAGAC